CTGTTGAATACGCTGTTGAATACGCTGTTGAATACGCTGTTGAATACGCTGTTGAATACGCTGTTGAATACGCTGTTGAATACGCTGTTGAATACTCTGTTGAATACGCTGTTGAATATGTTTATCAGGTCATGAGGTCATCAGGTGTTCAGGGGATAATGATTCATCCCGACCCCGGCTTCAATTTGCAGCCGGCAAACGAGAGAGTCTGAGTACCCTATACTATACCAACCTAACGCACTAGTACCTATGGCTAAGGAATCCTCCCTACTCAGCTACGGTACTCGAGTCGCACTCTTCCGCTTTTAGAAGCGGCGCCTATTAAGTGCTCCGCAATCAGCCGAAGACTTCATGTCATATCTCCATGGTCGACAAAGATGGCTGTCGTTATACAGTCCAATGTTCATCTTGATGCCTCCCATCAACACTTCACCTTACCCAAGCGGGACGACAAACTTGCAAAAAAATTGATACCCAGGCATGTGAAAAGATCTATAGAATGCTAGGTACCTATTTGTGACACCCGTAGGCATCCTAGTCCTGAGCAAACTTAGTTCGGAATGCTCAAACCTCTACCATGTAAGCCTAAATGCTGGCCAATAAGCTTAGAAGTACAGTTTATGTCACGTCAACTCGATTTGTGGGTTTGTTCAGCTGGATGACCCCTTGAATATGCGAAGCGTAGGCAGTATAGCGAGGCCGTTTAGGAAGGGGTCTTTGCTTGTAGTATGTGTTAATCAGAATTCGATTATACTTATTCACATGCTCGCGCTCTATAGCACTAAACCAATAAAAGCCGTTGTGTGCGAAGGGGCTGAACCCGTTTGTTTTAATCCAATGCCCTCAAGACCGAGAACACCAAGGATTGTTTATGAAGCTTCGTTAGTGGATCTGTCCCTTAGAAAAAGTATACTTTATCACTTGAGTACTCTACTTCTACTCGAGATCAGTTGATACCATTTTCTTTGACCAGCCGCTCGCCCTCAGTGGGGAGTATTTGAGCCCGGTTTGAAGATCTCTGATCTGGACATGCCACATCTCCAAGGTAGCATTCCAGTGCGCGTCGATGCACTCCACTGAGGACTTGAGGTGCTGTCGGAGATTGAGTTTATCCACGGCATCTTCCATATCTTGCGGGATATCAATAAACACACTTGGCATCTAGATGGCGAGAGGTTCTTCTCTTACATTGCAGATTTTCAGGCTTGTTCGCACAACTCCTTGGACCACTTCGGGTTCAAATTGAAACTGAACGAGTAGAGATGGGAAGGCCGGTCACAGCCGCTAGCATGCGGAAGGGATGATGAAGATGTGCTTGGCAGCGTCACCCTGGTTAGATGATATACTATATACAGTTCCCGCGGGCGCTTGCACTGCTGATTCCTGAGATTTTTCTGCGTGCGCCGGCAGGATCGAAAGTCCGAGTCAGGTCTGGCCACCTGATATGTCTCTCGGCTACTGCAGTGATTCTCCAGGCAGAGTGCTTCGGAATATGGTACCCGAGCCCTGGAGCAACATCTGACAGTCTCAGAACCTGTAGATCGTGGCGCATGTCACCTTGTTCTCGGAGGGCGGAGACCTCTATATTGGATTTACATTCCACGATTTTTTCCTTGTTTCCTTTATCAAGCATCGCGGATGAAACGATTGTCTGCGGGGACCTTTCTTTGGACGCTGGGTAAAATAGTATACGAACACTTTCTGCCTACAATTCCTGCTGGAATTAACAACTACTACTGGACATAAATGATGGCTGCAACTTACCAGAATATATATACAGCATCTTCTTTAATCTGCGAGGCAAGAAATCTATCCCGCGCGACCCCCTGGGTCAACAGCGCTATCCATAGCTTTGGTGGCTACCCAGCTGCGACTAATGTACAGGCACAGGTGCTACTCAACCAGTGTTATCATAAGATGGCTCCTCATGAGGCGGAGGCGCTCTACTCTCGCCTCGCTCCGCCTCCGCCTCTTCTAATCTCGCTTGTTTCTTGGCAGCTGATATAGAAATTTCATGGTGTTGTAAATATTCTTTAGCTTCGTCATGAATCTTAGCGTCGAAACGTGTCATGCGACGCTCAGGTCTAGGCGATGTTTGGCGGCCAAATCGAATGCATTGACGAGTCTGACCTCCAGGAGGTCCAGTCGAATAGAAATTATATGGCCAAAGGAGGGAATTCTCCTCCTTTTCGAGGTATTTCTCTCCGCTGCATCGAAGGCTGCCAGGAGATCATCCCGCAATCCAACGGTCGTCGATATGGATCAATCCTTCAATATAAGGTCAATGATATACCCAGATATAGCGAATGTTTAGTGAATTAAAGGTGTTGTAGAAGCAAGAAGGAGCGTCGAGGCATAGGCGTCTCCTGAGGGTGTCGCTAAGCTAGCATATATATGTTGTACGGACGGCGGCGCGGAGTATCCCACATCTCAGCCTTTCAACAGTATTTTTCGACGGCCGGAAAGTGTTGACTATCTCCCAACCATAGGCTTATACGAGGCTTCAAACCCTGCAACATCGCCAAGAAGGCATTGCGAACCGGAGCTGTCGCTATTCAGCCAATAATAAAAGCGCCGAAGTCAGGTTTGTCTTCGCCTTGTTCGGATCATTTCCCCTCGTCCCTTCACAGAGAATTATCCGACTCCTCAACCACAAGAGCATTAAAATGGCGAGACGTTGAGGGATCCTATCTACAATGTTTCCTGCTCAATAAGCCAACACGCCACCATATATTTCGAAAGGATAGACAAACTGTGGTAGCTCCAATGAATGAGCGATTATGGCCGACCGGGGATCCAAAACCTCAACGCAGTGCATGTGAGAGATGTCGAGGTCATAAACTGAAATGCACCCGCACACCGTCTGATGGCCATCTTGATCAATGCGATAGATGCGCTAAAGCGGGCTTACCGTGTCAGACGTTCCCATCCTTGCCTCCTGGAAGACCTCGGCTGAAAATTGATCTCAGCCGACAATCTTCACGGCTCTTGCATCAGAAACGAAAAGCTGCTCAACAGACCTACAACCCTTCTTATCTGGGATCTCAAGAAGAGTCATCCAGTTGCCTTCCATCACAAGTGGACGCATCAAGCCGTGCGGTACTGGCAGTTGAAACTTTTGTTTCGGGAAGGTCGATAATGCAGCCTGCCGCCAGATCAGATATTTCAGAACATTCCGTGGCGAATATTCAGTCTGCGACAGCTTCAAGCTATGATGCTGTGGCAGTGAATGATGATCATAACATCGGTCTTGATGACTTTATGGCCTTCCCTGACCTCGGTGAATGGTCTGATTTCGGCCAATTCACCCAGCTTCTCGGAGCCAATGTACCTATGGCCTCACAAGTGGATAAAAAGCATCACTATCTGGGAAAGCTCACAGATCTAAACGCCGATCTACTGAAGTACATCGCGGACATCGACAGCACAGAGACCTCCAGTACGAAATCATCGCGCCAAATAGTGCCAGTGGGACAAATGTTGAGGTTCATTCAAAGTTTCCTTGAGGTGCTAAAATTCTATTTGATGATCTTCCCCGTAAAAGGCTCCCCGCGCTTTGCACAGCACTCAGATAAGGATGCTGATAACGACTCCGAGCCTGAATTCGAGTCCAGAGAGGGAGTGTTGAGAATCCATACAGACATTCTTGGAGCAGGTGTTAATAAGTCGTCCACACCAAAAGCAACGGGCTTCAATGAGGAGCGCTCTGCTCTCGACTACCCCACGGCTCTGGCATTGAGCACTTGCTATGTATCGCTGGTACGTCTGTATCGTGATTGGCTACAAGCTCTCGTGGGAAGGTTGGAGAAATCCGTACATCGTGTACGAGAATATGCCGCCATGCGGAATTCAGTTGCAACATGTGGCGATGATTCTACTGATGCTGCTACAACCAACCACCTCGCCTATTCTCAGCTATTTGGTGACATTCCACGGGTATTACCCGATGTGTACCTGGATGGCTTTGACTTGGGTGACTATCGGTCTCTCCAGATCTCAGTCTTCATGCAAGTCAGTACAGATCTGTTGTGGCGAGCCGAGCGAGGTGTAGCAGCGCTGGTTGCCACGGAATCCATTGGATCCGATATTTCCAGCGGCACCCTTCCACTCCTCCAAGCAATGCTGCAACAAGAGGCTAGAACTGCCATCTCTACGCCTGCTTCTTCTCAAGAGAATAGGCTGGCCCGACCTGAGCAAATCGGTCTGCAGTCGCTCAAGGTCATTATGCGTACCATTCGAAAAAGTCTTCGGAGTAATGTCTGCCTGCAACTTGAAGAGGGCAACCGTTCAGCTGAAATGGGGAACCTGACATAGTGATTCAAATCTGCAGATTGTCTACGCATTCTTGAAGTCTTCTAAATTGTCAGGCCGGAACTTTTCTCCCGCCTTATAAGAGTGACAACCAACCCTATCACTATCGCTCGGAGCTTAAAGGACGAAGTTGTCCCTCCTAATTATTACTCCGAGTTCTATAACCAATATTACTCCGAAGCTGGACGAGGCTATTTATATGAGGAAGAGTGCCCTCAAGGGCCAAAGCGCATTTCAAACATTCCCAGAGTTCTTAAAGTGTCGAACCCGGAAGACGTCTCTCGCATCATCATCAGTACTTTTCGACGACACAGGTCATCATGAACCTCACTGATGTCGACACTGCCTCCGCAGGTATTCTGCCCACGATCCAGCTTTCAGAATCGCAAATGTCTTACGAACTAAGTAAGGCCGATGAGGCAATGACGTCCAAGGCCGAGGAGGGACGTGTGGCATCAGATCAGATTTCCAAAAAGGCAAGCCCCTCTTTCAAACCGAACGCCCGATTCTGGGCTATCATGGCTACGCTCTGTGTCGTCGGTCTTCTTGCTGCCTTCGAAAATACTGTGGTCGCGATCGCTCTACCCATCATATCAGAAGAGCTCCATCTAGGAGAAAACTACGTCTGGGTCACCAATGTCTTCTTCCTCACCAGGTGAATACCAATGACTGAGCTCCTGCAAACTCCGACTCGTGCTGATACTTCGCCTGGCAGTGCCGCTGTGCAGCCGCTGTTTGGTCAACTAGCCAACATCTTCGGCCGAAGGTGGCTGACCATGACCATCGTGGCATTTTTTGTGGTTGGCAGCGGTCTGTGTGGTGGAGCGACGAATGGAGCAACTCTCATTGCAGGACGAGCGATACAGGGCATAGGCAGTGGCGGGGTCAGTATGATTATCGATGTCATCGTCTCTGATCTAGTTCCACTGCGCGAGCGCGGCAACTATATTGCAATCGTGTTGTCTGTTTACTTCGTCGGCACGTGTATTGGACCCCTGGTAGGAGGAGTCATTGTTGACCAGACGACATGGAGATGGGTATGTTATTTGTCTTTGTACCAGTGAAAGCCAGTTCGGCCTACGAGTGCTGGTGTCGAAAAGCTAACCAAGAGCATTGTAGGTCTTTTACCTTAACCTACCTGTCGGTGGTGTTGCCATGGTCATGATCTTTGTCTTTCTCCAGGTCAAATACGATAAAAAGATGACACTGTTCCAAAAGCTAAAACGTATCGACTATGGCGGCAATATACTCTTGATTGGCTCGACTGTGTCTGTCCTGTACGCTTTGACATACGGCGGCACGAAGTACAAGTGGTCGCACTGGAGTATTTTGCTACCATTGCTTCTCGGCTCTTTGGGCCTGCTTTCGTTCATTGGCTACGAAACGACCTCTTGGCCCACCGAGCCAGTCGTTCCTCCTCGACTATTCGCAACCCGGACCTCGGCAATCGTTTTCGCGGTCACCTTTCTCAATTCGGCGAACTTGTACTGGGTATTGTTTTTTTTGCCAGTATACTTCCAGGCGGTATTGCTAGCTTCACCTACAAGGAGTGGTGTTTACTTGATCCCGATAATCGTGATTGCTGTACCGACAGCAATCGTCGCCGTCCTTCTCCTGACCAAATTCGGCAGATATAAACCCTTGCATTTGTTTGGCTTCGCAGTGTCCACGCTTGGTCTTGGCTTGATGACGCCCCTAGACAAGCACAGCAGCACTGCTGAATGGGTCATCATCTCAGTGGTGGCTGGCGGGGGAAGTGGCTTCGTGCTCAACACGCTTCTGCCGGCCGCACAAGCGGGCCTTCCAGAAAGCGATCAAGCCGCGACAACTGCAGCTTGGTCATTCATTCGGTCCTTTGGGTCGATATGGGGCGTGGCTATCCCTGCCGTAATATTCAACAATCGTTTTAACGAGCTAGCCCGGCGCCTCCCTGATCGAACCTTGCGGGGCCAACTTGGGCATGGCAGAGCGTATCAGTACGCGTCTAGCCACTTCGTCAAGTCCTTCGGAAGCCCCGTCACCGAAACTCTGATCACGACGTACTCACTTGCACTTAGACGAGTGTGGGAAGTCTCTATTGTGGTGTCTGGATTGGCGTTCGTCCTGGCATTGTTCGAGAAGGAAATCAAACTTCGAACCGAGCTAGACACAGAGTACGGTATGGAAGAGCACAAAGACAGGAACAGAACAGTTGATTCTCCTTTGGGAATATGTTAGGAATATCTTAAGTAACAGACAGAGTGAAAACACAATAGGGGGTTCGAGTATTTCTATCTAAGGTGCGCTCTGGTACAAGACTCTAAGCATAAAGAAGAGAAGTGTTACGCTTCGCTCCACCAGGGGTGTCACTACACGTATGGTTTCCTGGCAAGTAGGAGGTAAAGGGTATGTCTGAGAGCACGAGTGGTTGAGCGATACTAGAAGCGAAGTGAACTTTTTCACAGTCCGAAACGGATGAAATGACCGTGTATATATATATCTATGAGTGATCTGTGTGCTCTGTGTCCTCTGTGTGCTCTGTTTAAATGCGGTAAAGAACTCAACCTTCGTGATAGAAGTCACGTGCATCCGGATCAGGTTCTCGATTTCTTTTACTGTATGACCGCTTTAAGGGACTGAAACACCCAATATCGAGCGGTTAAAGTAGATGTGATGAATGTGCAGGCAATCAGAGTGTGACGATGTTGCTCTTCTTATAGTAGTCTTCGAAATCCACTGAGTGGTGACTTTCATGTCCATCTAAGACTAATAGAGGATAGATGCCCTTCGTACGACTACGACTGTGTTTGTCGAAGTGCTTAACCCAGTCAAGGCCAATCTCGTTCGTTGTCCATCCATTATTACTAAGTGCGATAACCCAGTCGGACGGAAGAGGGCTGTCTCGATATCATGATGCGAGGTGATGTTTACCAGCAACCACAAGGAAAGGTGGTATAGCCCAGCCGGACGAATTAACACCCTGGATCACCGTGACCCATTCCCGATTGCCTGGCTGCACCATCTTGACCTTTCCACGCCCTTCAGAACCTGTCACAACCATTGCGGACGAGATCTGGCCCATCATAAACCCAGTCTCGTCAAAGTTCCAAATGTAATCGTTATGGATCCCATACTTGGCTATCACGTTTTGTACGAGGTCAAACCAGCCTTGAATTATGACTGGATCTTCGCATTAAGCCCTCTGATAGTCGTACTTGCGTGTAAAACACATTCGTAGCTCTTGATGCCGTTTAACAAAGTTCAATCTGTTATGGAACGCTTAGTTCTAGGCGATGTTTAGGGGCAAAATGGGATGCCTTGACGAGTCTGATTTCCCCCTCTAGGAGGGAGATCTCTATCTATTATAGAGGCAAAAGGACCGAACTTTCTTTCTCCGAGGGAGGGCTTTCTCGCCGCCGCACAGCGCGCCGCATGGAGCCATCGGGCGGCGTTCTATCGGGCGACGTTCTAGACGGAGAGAAATCCTCCTTGTGAGGCCGAGAATATAGTCATATATAGTGAAATCCAGTGAATTGATGGTGTTGCAAAAGTTGTAAGGAGCGTGAGGGCGTCGGCGTTCCGCCGAGGGCGCTAGGCGCTAGGCGTGAGTAAATAATTTGACTTGTAAAGACGGTCATTGGCAACGCCCGCAACTCACCCTAGTTCAACAGTTTTCAATGAATTGAATGATAGTTGAGAATGTGGTACTGCCAGCGCAATCCTCGAAATTATCGCGCAGAGCGCGCAAAAGTTCGTTGAGTGCAGCCATTATAGATCGTATCAGGTGTTGTGATGACTATTAGCATGCTTGCGAATGCTACATAATTCGTGTAGGTCTGACCACAGCCATCACCACGACACTGGAAAGCCTGTACAGGCGCTCTCAGCTCTGGAATAAACTTGATCACTGTGGATGGAGTTCTGACTTGAGCTGGAGGAAGGGTGGCGTATATCTGATGGCGTGTTTCAATGGCTTTTCGGTCTTGCCGGCTGAGAGAGGGGTGCTCATCTCTTAAATGATGATGTAGGTTTTGAACAGCATATCCATGTTCACGACAGATCAGTACATGGTAGTCGGCGTTATATGATATGAGATCTTGTGTGGGGTCTTGAGAGGCATTTTGAGGGCCGTTAAAGAGTGGTCGTGTAATGTTGATACTGCTTGCGGTATTGTGTCTGGCACCTGACACTATGGAAACCCCATAGATGGAATTTGTCTCGCCGTCGACCTGGTGGACAGTATCACGAGAGAGTCTTTAGGTATTGAACATGGCTGTTTAGCGTTTACTATGTCTATCACGGGAGAATATAAGTAATCCACTCCACGATTCCGCGTAGAGAGCTGTTGAGATTCTTTTTACTCGACACGTTATGGCACAGAATGTGATTCTAAGGCCTACTCACCGTGTTGCCTAACTTACCCCAAAATGGTGTAGTTTCACAAAAAAGCGCGTGCATCGCGTGTGGAGCTAGGACGAACTGAGACGCTCTAGAGTATCACGTGGTTGGGCTTTGGTCTCAAAATGCCCTGATTAGGAATGGTGGTTACCAGAAAGAGCAAAACACGGGCTTTGGCAAAATCCAGCGGTACCTCTTTTATTATACTAGGACCCTCGTGTTGTCGCCATGCCAATCGATTGCCTCACTCCCGCCGCAAATTGTAGCATAGTGTCAAACGGGCAGATCCGGCAGGAGCTCTGGAAGCTCTAGTGCGCTTGAGCGATGCATGTGTTTGACGTGCGACTAAAATGACATCGCTAGAACAAGAGGTTCTTTCGGGGTGAGTGACTGACCTCACGAAAATGTCAGGATGCGAGTAATATTACCGAGTCTGCGGCCATCGAGATTCACAAATCTGGCCTCAAAACTACTACAAAACAACAATTTGAAGGACGCTTCGCTAACACAGGTGCATGACCCGCGTGGATTGTTGTTGCTGGCAAGACTGGGAGGAGCACGTGGCATCCAAAAGAGTCGGCGATGATCCAGGTTGAAGCGAGTGACGTATTGATCAGTTACATCAAATCGGCCCCCGAAGATTGGTCTGTTCAAAAGATGGACCGTTGTCCCCTCCGCCGTTCATGAAATCACCCATGGCACGGAGCCTTGCACGTAATGCCTCGTGTCGGCAAAGCCAAGAGATCCCTTGATATTCGCGTCGGATCGGGGTCGGCGTCTTCCTGTTGCGTGCTCAACGCAACTTGAAATGGCGTCCGTCCCAGAAGATTGCGATCATTGGAGGTTCCCTACCTCGAGAAGAATCGTCAGCACATTGGGCATCCGTGGGAGAACGACGCAGAACACGGTCGCCATCCCATCTGGTCGGTCCAATTTGGGAGTTTAGGGAGCCGAGGCCTACACCCTGCAACGCGTCCTTGACCTGGCGATTGGTCCCGCTTGGAGGTTTGGGCAATCTCATCTTAGTACCAAAGCCGAATCGCCGAGCCAGTAGAGGGCGAAATCATTCCCGACCTCTACATTTCTTCATTGTGTCGCGAAACGAGCGTTGATTGGCTACTGCACGACCAGGCTCCAGCGCCTCCCTGCGCCGTTTCAACAGCATGGTGAATTTGACTCGAAATTTCGACCTCTGATGACCGCACTCAGAAAGTCGCAGACACCGAGACGCCTCTGCCTTCTCTCTTTGATACCAACCACCTATCTTCCTCCCAACTCCAGAGTCACTCCGATGAAAGTGACTCCAGACACGCACCCAGCACCTGGACCTTCACGACGACATGGCCTACGTCGACGATCACGTTTGCGACCCCGACGGCCTGGGCGCAGTCCTAGATCACAAGTACCCCCGAGAGAGCGACTAGCACGACCGACGCCAGGTGCGCCGAAGGAGATCGGAGAAAGAGGCGGACCATAGCCTAGTCAGGCTGTCGGAGAGGTGATGGCACCAACATTGCGAGAAGAGCCCCAACCATCGAGGCTACTAGAGCTACCCGTGGAGATTCGTGTCCAGATTTGGGAAGCGGTCTTCGAGGGAGGGCTTGAAAACCGCACGCGGTTGAAATGGATTACACGGCATCGCGGCTATCCAGAAAAACGACCATCGGGGAAGAGGAGGCGGAGTTACGCACCCTTTGTAAACAGGTCGAGGGAGAGATAACCCCGCTCTTCTTCCTGTACTTTCCCCCAAAGTTCACCGAGATTTGTCCATTGGGGTTCTCCGCGAACCGTACACCGCGCTATTGAGCCATGTGCGAACTCTTGAGCTATCCGCCGCAATGGCAGCTCGGCCACCAATGCCAGGAGCGCAAATCGCCCAGTCGGAACCCAGTTTCGAACTGATGCGGACCTTTATGGACGCTCTCGATATGGAGCAGGAGAGAATGCTGGCGTGAGAGGAAGTGGTGGTCAAGAGTGCGCTGAATGAGATTGACGCGAAGAATCTGTGGAACATCTCGAGGATTGGCCAGCTGAAGAGAGGTTATCACTTGGTCCGGCCCACGACGTTGTGCCTTGGGCACAAGGTGCTTCTAGCGCAAATGCTGGCTTACGCACTTGTCGTCACTTGAAGCGCGTACTGGCAGATCAGCACAAGTTCGGGGCCAACGATGGCCAGCCGAGGCCCATGAAGGAATTCAATGACTGAGTCTTGGTTGCATGCCAAAGCATTAGGCACGTATTCTCTCATCTCAACTGGCCAAAGCGATCTAAGTGTTTCTGAACCCGCTGGCGATCGCGCGGAATCGTGCGGTCCCTTTTTCCAGAGAACGCAAGACTTCTCGGATATTCTATCTTACCGTGATGGCATCAGGGTCTTTTTTGTTCTGTTTGTGTCATCAGCGCAGCTGGACTAGACCAACCCACGTCGCTCGGCGCTACAAAGATTAAAGTGAACATCATGTCCCAGATCAACCTAGTCGAGAGCTTAGGACAACATGATAGCAAAGTCCAGGCTCTGTGGAAGGCTCTCAGACCATTGGTGAATAGTAGATATTGAGCTTTGTTGCTAATCTTGCACCGTGAAGTTCTTTACTTTGTCTCCTGAGCCTCTTTCTCCAAACTCTGCCTGCCTTTGCCGAAAGCGAGGACGGCTGTCTGTCTTGAAGTCTCTTGGAAGTCTCCGGTGTCATCATAACAGAAACCGGGTAGTAAGTTTCCTGTACAGGATTAGCTATACCTCAAACAGTGTAGAGCGGCTCACCATGTCTTCTCCATGAGGGGACCAAGTGGCAGCGAAACAATTCTTATAAACGGTGCATTTCCCTTGTCCGACGAACTGCGATGGTGATATTTGCTTGAAATTTACCCACTGTCTCATTACACTTTTTGAAAAATGTGGGTTTGAGTTTCTCGAAGTTCTCGTGCTGTCTCCGACTCAGCGGTCTAACGCAAGCAATGCATCTACGTGATCGACCCACTAAGTTCCTTAGCACCATCTCTTATCCGGCGGCGGGGTTGTGAATGCGGCGGTAGAGAGAGGCCGGCCCGCTTCTTTCTCGCCTGTAGAACAAACACAAGGCTCTCCTCGATATCCAAACTGGGGCGGTTAGCACTTCTTCTGCATCTTGCAATATCTTTCTGTTCAAAGTCACCCGTTCCACCTCTTCGAACCCTTCGCCCGCCGCTTAGCAACCCTCTGCGCTGCCTCGCCCGCCTTCCGCTTCGCAGGGTTACTGTTCTTATTAGGTGTCGGTTCCGCGACATTCTCCGCCACATCAAGCTCAGCGGCTTCCGGAGTAGAACGCAGCCACACAATAACATCATACTTCTTCGAATTAGGAGGACCCTGATACCCCATCGCCTTGGCCTTGTTCACGAGATCAATACCATCGCCCAGCCACCACTTCTTCTCCCTCTCACTCTTAAGAACGTCCCATCCTGCATGCCAATTCGCCAAGGCTGCAACCGATCTAGATGGCAGCTTGCCGTTACTGTCTTTGAGTAGTTGGTAGGATCTCTGCATCGCTAGTTCTGTCAAGTCGGCTTGTGTCCATGTTCGATATTGTGACTCTGCTGCGTCGATCCGGCGTTGGAGATCAGGGTCAGATGTGCGCAGAATAGCTTCGGGGTGAGATATTGCTCCTGTGGGACGTACGGTACGACGAACGGTCGCGGTAGCTGGTGTTGTGGGCGCAATAGATGGTACAACATAAGGTGTTATCCCTTCTTTTGCGCAGAGCCACTTAATTATACGGACTCGACCATCCTTCCTCGATTGACTTTTTCTTTTTCCAAAGTCCTTGCTGTATGCATGCTGGTAGAGTTCTTCGAAGCTCATAGCCCACCAGGCCTTTTCCTGTGGCGTCATCGAAGGAGGAGTTGCTGTCTGGACGACATTCTCAGGCAGTTGGCTGTTGTGCGATGAGTGACTCGAGTCGCGCCCTCTTCGTGGGTTCGTGGGTTGGCTGCTTCTTCTTTGACTACCATGGTCATCTCGCCCCCTGTCTCCCGGCATATTTCTTGCTTATGTTTTTCTTGAATTGTCCTAGAAGCCGTTGAATTGTGCGAGTTTGAAGAACAGAGACAAGAGGTCGTTAGTATTGTACTGGTGTGGTTAGACGCGGAGGGCAAGGATGGATGAGCTGCGCGCCCACGGATCAACGGAAGCCCATTCCGCGCGCAGGACTTGATAATTATCACGTGGGTTCCTCTTTCTCCAAAGAGCCTAACCTGTGAGTTCTGTTCTTCCCCAATGTTCAACAGAGACTTGGCCGTTGAGTCGCTACACTCCCTCGCCAGTCGCTACAACTCCTCTCGACGCGTTTACGCGCGCGAAGGCACGTAAATAAGGCGAGTATCTAGTCTACATCATTACTTCCTACGGGCAAAAGCGGGTATGGCGCCCAACGCTCCCGCCCCAACAACACCACCACAACCACCTACCACCGCACCTTCCGCTCCAGCGCCCGTCCGACGATCGGGATTGCGCACACTGCCCCCCGCTCTACAACCGGGTAGTCGACCACGCAAGTCAGGGGGGCCCCTCTTCGCTGAACGCAACACCACCGACGACGATCGACACGTTAGAGATTTATCTACTGTGAAACGGAGGCATTCATGAGGCATTCTGCCTCATGGATGCCTTGCGTGAGCCTCGCGTGTGCCTCGCGAGTGCCTCGTGAGGTTGACATTCATCAAAAAGCTTCGTGTTTTTGGCTGCTGTTTCGTCTTCCAAGCGAAACGTGAATGGCGAGTCCGGCTATTGTTGGAAGAAGAGCTTTCAGACCAGCAAATGGTTCACATGAGGTTGGACCGTTGGACACTGCAGAAAGTTCTAGCACTTTCTTTTCACGAGAGGGGGTATTACTGGGTCTAAAGCCACACACGTACAGTAAATAGCCGAGATCACTGGAATACCTGCCGCCGCAGCTTTACGTGGCAGATCTGTGCTGGACTTTAGTGCAGAAAAGCTTTCCAAGTGGGCTAGAAATCGTCAGACGAAGAAGGTTGAAGACCAAGCTTACTGGCTCTTCGGCATCTTTAATGCTCAGCTACCTGTGCTATACCGAGAAGGACAAGAAAGTGCAATGTGACGGCTTGAGAAAGAAGTAGGGGGTACGTAATTGACTTTTTTGGTGAGTCCTTCCCCGAATAACCTCTATACTAACTCCCAACCAGTTACGCCTGCACACATTGATGAAGTGATTCAGAAAAGGTACAATGGCGGACGACTCAAGATTGAGCGCTTATCTGGCAAGTCCCTTCCACTGGAATGCTACTTTGTCAATCTAGGTATCATCAATCACATTCGCGACAGCGAGACAAGAATGGCCAGCAAGAAATCCGATGCAGGTGAGGTGACCAAGCCAGGCTCCATATTTTCGCTTGCCACACGTCTTAAGGTCAAAGCTCCTTTCGAGTCACACCGGGTATCTCTCAGCACAGTGTTCGACGCTACGCCGGACGACGGACCAATGGCGAAGCGAAGCCCGCGTACTACAGGCGATAATAGTAGTAAGCTGCTCACACATTCCCCCTCCTGGCACTATTGGAAAGCTAATTATTGTCGTACAGCTATCGAGATCGAGTATCGCAAGTCCAACAGATTCAAGTTCAATCAACCCAGGCATAAACCGCTCTACTTCATGCAGACATGGGCCCCAAACCCGTCGAGTCCGCTTAGAGCATACCGCCACTCATCGCCAACTCATTCCTGAGCTCGAATAAGCCTTCGACAAACCGGTCCAAAACCATCCCATCACCGTATAGAAACATTTCCAAGACCTTTTTGGATTCTTTCCAGGTCCTCAACCTGAGAATCTTCGTCATCTCAGCGAACCGTGTTGAATACCACCGCTTGTCGATGAGTAATTCAGGTCTCTTACCGGTACCATCAGAGAGCTGTTCGGCGCAGGCGCCGACGAAGAAGAGAAAGAGGAGGCTTTCATGGTGAGTTATAGCCACTGGCGGTGTAGGCAAGGAAGTAGCCGTTCCCGATGAGGCTGCAGAAGGCAATGTGCCTCGCTTCCTCATGCAGTCTAGCAGGATCTCTATCTGAGGCCGCAAGTTCTGGATGGGGATATAGAGAAGCCATTTCTCGAGAGGGAGAGTGAATCCGTAGATGAACGACATGGCATAAGATACTGCGAGACAGATGCATGCGTGTAGTTGTCTCCGCGTGCGTCGAGACATGGGTGTCTGGGGAGTCATCGTCTGGACGATGTTACAGTAGACAGTCATAGTCCAAGAACTCAGGGAGTCGCGTCGACGGTGGAGCCAATAGAAGACGGCGTCGGCAGCGTTCTGGTCCTTCTCCGAAAGTAACCGGCTTGCTAAAGCTTGTGCGGCCACGAACTCTCGATGCGCCATGATATAGTTGTGCAGGTCATCAGAAAGAGCGTCATCAGGCAGGAGAAATGCTTCGTCCCATAGTCGAAACTGTGAGTCCAAGTTTGACAGCAAAGGACCATACTGAGCAAGTTCCGGTTGAGAATGAAAAGACCCGGGGTCGAAGTGGGTATAGTGCAAATGTGGTCGCGTAAGTGTGAACCTCGAATGGCCATTGTCCATCAAGATAACAAACGCTCGCGTGTCTGGATCGAGCGCATCTAGACCTCCAAGCCTTTCTACAGCTTCCCATAGGACTGGCTCATGGGCCACGTTCGCTCGAAAGTCGCCATTATATAACGCTGTTCTGGCATAAAATGAGACTCGTTGAAGGTCCCACAGTCTCACAGACGTGCGCCCGGAGTAACATCAGACTCCTGTTCTGATGCCTGAGAGCCATGGGATAGAGAAAAGTGAATGATTCTGGCTGCATATAGAGAGCTTTCAAGATCAGAACGCTCGAATACCAGCCATGCAGAGATTTCTTGTCCGTGACGAATGCTGTCGCTTTCGCACGCCAGGCAGCGTCGATCGACTGGCGATAATTTGCCTGCTGTATACCGACACAGCTGTAGGAGAGACACCAGTCACGGAAGACTGCCAAAGCCTCCTTTCGGAAAAGAGGACAGGCGGCCCAATCGGGGGGGTTGAAGTCAAAACGCTTAGGCATTCGACATTCTCTCTCGGAGAGAGCTTCTGGCCAGAGTTGGAAATTGAGGTATTGCCGACCGATCTCTTCGGTTGATGACGGCTGCTCGAGATGTTCGAGTGAGTCGTGCGGACTGGCAGACCCGTACGCACTACTGTTCGCCCCTGATCCTAGCTGCTAGCATATTATTCTACTGTTGATGTCGCCACTTGGAGGAACCTGGACACATTCATCCCCGACGTGCGAGACAGGCGCGGCCGACCAGATAAAATTCTGTGACTTGTGGACTTTCTGGAGAGCTTGAGCTTCAAGCCGATGTTGACTTTCTCCAACATTGACTGCGTACTTCTTCCGATTTCGCTTCGCCCATTGATAGTACTTGTTTGTGACATGGGAACTGATTCGAAACGCTTCGTTTGCATCTTTGCGAGTCAAGTTGGAGCTATCTTTGTTGACGAAATAGAAGCTTCCACGATATGTCGCCATTGGGATAGATGGTTGCGAGGGAAGGCTTGGTAGTTCCGTTGAGGGCCAATCCATATGCCTGGAGCTTAATGTGTTTGGCTGGCTGGCCTCAATCAATGACTTCGACAATGCTGTCCTGGCTCAGCCATCCGGAAACTCCCACCTTGTGCGTTCGGACGCCGTCTCCCAGCTCTTCGTGGCGTAAGGCTAGCGTTCCAGAGTCGGTGCGGTGAGTGCCACGATTCCCTTGCTAACCAAGCTTAGCATGGCCACCATGGTCGTGTGCAATGCAGCTCGGGGAGCCATATATGTTCCGCAGCTGACATAAACACAGAATGCAGAGTCAATAAGCCTCCATCTTAGCGATTGGAACCAGGAGAAGCCACCGTTCCCGTGGAGAATTGACCTAATATGCCGGCTAACGAATCAGAGGTGCCTTCTGCAACAATGGCCAGTCGATGGTGTGTTCAGCCCTCCAGACATTAGGTTCACTCGGAATCCATTGGATTCCGGGGTGTCGGCCGCACTCTAGGTGGACCCGTAATCCAACGGATTCCGGCGGATCATTTTTAATCCGTTCTGCAGGGTGAGCGATACACCAGCGCGTTTCATTGGTTGAGGTTTCCTCGCTTCCGGCTTCTCTAATCTCACCTTGACGCGCTATGCACTTTACGCGTCTGATTCTAACTCGTCCCGGTCATACGGAGTACGCGTTTTGCTTTGATAGCTTACGGTCTCTATTAATATACACATAGCTATATATTCTCAATTTAGACAATACATAGACCTAGAACAGAGAAAATATTATGTTGTGGTCTTCCTTAGAACCCAAGGCTCTTGAAATTCGGCTTAAAGGTCTTAATCTCCAGCTTTTATCACCACAGCGAGGTCTTCTTTGTCTTAGCTGTGGTTATATACTAACGGTCCATAGACATAGCGTTAATCAACACCTATAGGATAAGCACCAGACTTCGAAGTCACTACGAGCCGATTTATCTAGTTTCCTTCGAACCCTAGTAGGACAGGACTCGACTGTAGCGCCTTTTCGCGGCAGATCGGCGCGCGGAATGGAAATAAACTTTGAGTGTAGCGCCAAATTTGTCCTGTAGCGTTATATTTGTTGTAGCGCTAAATATTCTATGGCTTAGCCTCATGATAACATAATATAGCCTCGTCTTTACCTTTTAAACGATTAACTCTTTCATCCTAGCTAATCCTTTTAAGACTCGACTTTATAGGTATACAGTTATCTTATCTTCTCTTTATATTATAATCTTCTCTTCCTAGCTTTATAGCTATAATCTTATAATAAGCGCTCTTAAAAATGCGTTAATTTATACACTATATTAATACGCTCTATATATTAATCTAAGATCTATTTAGTAGTATTTTTCTTAGATTCACTTAATCGATAGCTCGCGTCGGTTCTAGTTAGAAAACCTCACGACACTTAATCTCATGAATATCTCTTAACTAACGCCTTAAAACGATTTATTTTAAGAGAATATAGCTCTAGCTATGATTTCTAGATTCGCGTGCGATCACTATTTAATCTAAATAACTAGCTAATAGCTTTTAAGGCGATATCTCTTCGCTCACTATTATATAGAATAGTTCGATATTATTAATGATTAGGATTATTAATATATTCTTTTATAGCGATAAGTCATTACTAATCTAAGAGTATAGTAATACTAGATTGTCGCTTTTATTAATAGTATAGCGTTTTTAATAAACTCTATTTTTTATAAGTAAAAGTGTTTTTAAGTTAGTCACTAAAAGCTATCTTAGTCAAAAATAATGAGTGCTATAGATATATAAACCTAGCTATAGCTCTCTCCTTCTTTATTATTAACTCTTCTCTTTATGATTCACTAAGAGAAAGAAGAATAGATTATATTCTCTCACTTAATATTTAATTTATAATTATAATAATAATAATAATAAAGTTTTATTATAATCTAATTTAGCTCTCTCTTAAGACTATATAAACTCTAGTAATTTTCAAGGAAAAACCTAAATCTCATTAAGATTCGGGAAAATCTTTGACTCTCTCTCGAGCTGTTTATATTTTGTAGGCGCCTTTTTTGCTATTTTTTTTGTCGCTTTATAATTATCTTTTCCTTCGATTTATAGAAGGTCTTGTTCTATTACTTAGTATAGTCTCTTAAGAGTGTATACTTTAATATTTCTTTCTTCTCTATCTTTCTCGTAAGTTATAGATATCTCAGTATTTCTTGTGCGAGTAGTCAGCGAGTTATATACTTTATGGCTTTAAGTCTTGAGAGTATCTTATTAACTCTTTATATTTCGTAAGCCTAAAAAAGCTTCTCTTGTTTGTATTTTTGATAGTGTAGAAGAATATAATATATTATTTCTATATATTGGCTATATAAGTATAGCGAGAGTACACTTAAGATATCGATTCTTGCTAGCCACTCATTAAGCCTAATTATCTCTATTCTAAGAAGAAATAATATTGTCGCTTCAGCTTTTAAGAGATCTATATAAAGCGTGTATCTATTTAGCTTTTAGTTAATTATCTAAATTATTAGGGAATTAGAACCCCTTAAGATCGTTTTAGTCTTTTCTTATCTAGCCTTCTAGTCGTGATTTATAGCTTTATAAAGAGTTATCTTCTTTAATAGCGATACTTCTAAATAGCGATAGTGATATTATTTATATAAAGTTCACTAACGATTTATCTTCTCTTTAATATAGATATTTATCTTCTCTTGAGTATATTCTTTAGTGAGATATAAAAACTTTACTTAATATTAATATCTTATTCTAAGACTATTCTATACTCTCTTAAACGCTTTCTAGATACTCTTCTTAATTAGATTATATATAGTTCGCAGTGTACTTCTTTTTATTTAAGTAAGAGCGATAAGATTAAGTGAGAATATATATATCTCTCTCTTTAGGGTGACTTAAGAGATTCTTTTATATTTTTCTATTATACTTCGAAAATATTTATTTTATATCTTCGTTAGTGAGCTAATATATAAGGTTAAGAGCGATCTTTATATAATTTATATACTTTATTTCTATAAGCTATAGAGAAGGATTAACTATATTATCGCTATATAAAGAAGCTTAATATTTTATATTAATGATTTCTAGATTAATATAGCTAGTTAAGCTAGTGTTTTTAACGCTATAAGTTTCTTATAGACTATATATATAATATACTCTTTCTATATAAGCTTTAGATTAAGCTATATATCGAGAATCTTAATTATCTTTTATTTTAAGGCAATTTTCTATCTTGCGATCTAGATACTATTTATTTATAGATCGCTAGTAAGTTATCTACTTTTCATAAAGTGAATAAATTAGTATTTCTTTAAGGCGAATTTCGCTTTGTGACTCTTTATTTATTTCTTATATTTTTAATAAACTATATTTAGTCTGTGATAATTATATTTCTCGCTTAGACCTTATATAATAATATTTATATTATCGATAAAGCTAAAGTCTATAGTGTTATTTTATTTATTAGTAAGGCTTTTAAAGAGTCTTAAGATATAGAAGAGAAATAAAATCGGCGATAAAAAGAAGCCCTATAAAATACTTGTTTCGGTGTTTATTTAGTCACTTTTATGCTCTATATATATAATCTATATATACCTCTTAGATAGAAAGCTTTAGATAGATTTAACTAGCCATTTTGAGAAGTTCTTTTTTATGAGAATATTAAGTAATATATTATAAGGTATATTATTAAAGGCTTTCGCGATATTAAGGCTTAATATCGATACTATATAGTCTAGTTATGTCTACTATATACGCTTTATATAAATCGTTATAAGGCTGATAGCTAAGAGCGTTAATCTATCTCGATATCTACTTATCTAGTTTTAAGGGAGAAGGTTATATTTCTTGATAACGTTTATTATATAGTTAGTTAGCGCTTTCTCTATAAGCTTCGCTAGGGTATTCTTAAGGGCTATTAATCTATATACGCTTAAGAGAGAGTAGTCTTTTTTCTTCTTCTTTCTTAAGACGAGAGTTATAGACTTCTTTATCTCTCTAAGGAGCTTCTCTTACATGAGAGCTTTACTTATTGTGTGCGCTAAGCGATCATTAATTATAGATAAAAGTTACTTTAGCACTTTATTTAGTATTTTATTAAGTGTTACGAATCGGCCTGCGAGCAGGCCGCATACAAAGCTGTGACGACAGCCAGGACAAGAGAGGAAGCTATACCGGGAAATCACGTGTGAAGAACCACGGCACGGATCACGTGATACGCTTAGCCGGCTCAGCCCTGGGGACGCTGAGCACCGCTGAGCACCACTCGGGAATGCTTAGACGTGCTCAGTGTGCTTGGCCTGAGCACCACTGAGCGGAACTAAGCAGTGATGGATATATATACACGGTCGTTTTATAGCTTTACCATGTAGTCAACTTCGTTCACGATTATACCCATATGTTTTAGACTATGATCACTTCGCTTTAGTACTCACTTAAGTACTCTGTTCTCAGCGACCTCACTTTCTATACTTCCCACTTATTAAGGAACGATATGTGCAGTGACACCCCGGGTGGAGCGAAACATAACACTTTAACTATCACTTGATTAGAAGTATTCGACACGATGTCCAGCTTCAAAGCTTCTATCCGCTCACTATCCTCTACTGGGTCGGTTCGGTCCGCCGCGTCGGGCGTATCCACATCAGGATCTATCTTCACTGTTATCTCCAGCTATAGCAACTATGGTAATCACGGCAAGGACGATACCAAGGTTGATGTATTCTATAGATCTCGTGAAAAGTTGGGACTGTTCGTCACCCAACTTATCGCGACTTTTAAATTAAACCGCACCAAATATATTACTCATAAAGACAAGGTCTTATTCGCGAGACTTCACATGAGGGGATTAGCCTTCCATTGGTTTGAATCTATCATGATGGACCATATAATGTCCCTCGAAGGATAGAAGGACCCAGAAACCATTGCCATTTTCTCTAACTTCGCGATATTTATGGAGCGACTTAAGTAGATGTTTGAAACTTCAGGGGAGAAACAGGTCGCGGCCTAACGAATCTATCAACTCAAGTAGAAGGGGTTAGCTGCGCAGTACTATGCTCTGTTTAAGAGGCTTTAGGTCAAACTGAATTGAGACGATAATGTACTTGCCGCTGCCTTTTATACTGGCTTAAAGGATAACATTAAAAAGGAGTTAGGACCGGAGAGGTTTGATATGTATCAGGGATTGGTCAATAAAGCTATCGAAATTGATAACTGGCTATACGAGTTAGGATTGAAGAAGAAAGGATATTATGGAAAGACGGGTGGCGTGTACTATAAGGGTAAACGCACTAACTATCAGTTTTATGGTGATTCGATGGATCTTGACGTTATTGAACGGGGCCGGTCCTCACGACTAAAAGGCAAGTTTCAATGTAAGGGGCTATCTAATAAGAAGCGAGAACGACGCAAAAAAGAAAACCTATGCTATAACTATAGAAATCCAAGATATAAGGCTAACGAGTACGGTACGAAGCCCGTGAGACTACACATAATTGAAGTCGGTATTGAAGAAGAAAAGGCCGACACTCTAATTAAGAAAGAACTCAAGCGCCTGAGACTTGAGAGCAAAGAATAGATTCAGGGATTAAGAAGCCTAGAACCTAAAAGACAATAAATAATGAAGGTATATCTAGATGGCCTTAAGAAAGATAACTTAGAACAGGCTAGCCGTGTCGAGAGAGTATAAAAGGGGAATTTCGAAGGAATCTAGACGGAGAGAGCGATTTTGGTATCACTATTAATGATTAATGGTGAAGAGGTTATCGATATTGTAGGAATCTATTCTGATCAAGGTTGGCAGGATAAAATAGTCACGACACGAAAGACCGATAAAGGGCGGCCAAAACACGTGAACTTATCATGAATAGCCTGCTATAACGATAACTGCCCCATCCACTACTCTAATAAGCAGGGTGCAGAATAATTTCCTCACGAAAAGAAGCGCAAGAATCGTCGAAGCAAAAAATTCAAGAGAAAGGAAGTCGACTGGGAAGAGCCTGAAACAGTGGCCATAGTGGAAGCAAGATCACCACCATACGAAATAATTAGCGTTGGATACAGGTTTACACGAATCAGGACTCATCATTAAGAACATAGCATCAACGAGGCCGTGTTTAGCCCACACACTAATGTCGAGCAAGACTGAATACCACTGAGGCTAAAAAGGTGCTTCTAGCAATGTAGTTTTAAAGAACTCTATATCCATCTAGTAGGAGAAGAACAATATCAGTTCTCGTTTAAACTACTACAGGAATGGACCTCGAGTTAGATAAACTGAGAAGTCATAAGTACCTATGACCTTATAAGCAGAGCGAAAACGCTAATGATAATACGAATATATTATTAAACCAGAAAAGGGGACAGAACCTTCTTGAGCCTATATCGAGGAAAACAGCTAATAGAGTATATCCTCATTATGCGTATCTATTAAGAATCCAACTATATCGAGAGGTCCTATCTATATACACACGATATATAGAGAATGTCTATAATTCATCATTTTCCATTTAACGACAACTTCGATAAGGAAAATAACGAATTTAGCGACCAAGAAGAAGACGAAATATTTATCTAGATAGAGTTTGATACTTAGAGAACGACTACACTAACAATAAAGACACAATATAAAGAAAAATATAGAATAATTACCAATTATAGCAGTGTAATAGTACTCATAACGAAGTACTAGAAGAATATACTATACATCTAAGTGTGTAGAAGGGGTTACGCCACGAAACATAAAAGATTCGATCCTAAAAAGAGCTTAAGGAATAAGGAAGACCTAGTACTCGTGATAAAATATAAAGAAATATATAAAGGACTTACTTATATATATAACGTACTAGAGGAGGACCATTACGATTTTATATTCAGCGAAGAATCGAACTCGAGCGACTCTAAGCCTAAGTGTAATATTATATTATTCTACGGGTACTGTTACGCGATTATCGAGACATCGAACTAGATCTACTATAAGGAAGGAGTACTTAGGACATGTATAGTTAACAATAGGCTCAAGCTAAACTATACTCAGGAGCAAGAGAAAAAGAGGCCGATATCTATATAGCGATGCTTTAAGTACCCAGGCCTAGCTTCTTATACACATTAGACTGATACCGAAGAACCCTACTTCTTCCCATTCAAAGAACGTGACGATCTAACCCTAGAAGAGATCGATCAAGACGTGGCGGGACACTATATCGAAGAAGAAAGGATAAGGGATATTATGGTTATAAGAACACATTATTAAGTCTAGACAGTAGAAGGGGTCCAGAGATATAGTCTCTACACTAATCTAAATATTCACTGAGTTTTTATGACCTTATGCTTATATTATGATAAGCGATGTTCGCACGAGAGAGAATATATACACGATATGATTAGGAGCGAAATACATTATCTACTATATAAGTCGAAAGATCTCATGGTAATCGGTACCCCTAAAGAATTCGATGAGGATAACTCGTTTAAGTTTATCGTTACTAAGATAACTAAAATACATCTCTAGTTCTTAACCCCGTTTTAGAGGCCAATAAAATATAAGCAAATAAACTGCCTAAATGGAGCATCATATTACCACCCGGAGTTCGACCCCAAAACAAGCGAAAAGGATAAAGTCTTCATATTAGTCAAAAAGTGATATACTGATATGATGTGTACTTATGCATCTAGGATATACGTATATCTCACGACGGAGGATATAATCGAATCACCGATCAAGGTGCTTCTACATGTTTTCGGAAGCAGAGATATAACCATAAATAACGTGCCAAAAAACTAGACAGAGAATCTATCATGAGGCGAAAGGTCTCGCGCAACAGAAAAAAGCCTCGGGAACGTCACATTAATATAGTATAGACTCAGCGTTTAACGCCATTGGTCTTCAGCGCCAAACTAGCTAATAAGCCTATTCAAGTAATGATTGATAGCGAAGCAAGCCAAGACTATATATCACCAAAAATAGTAGTAAGACTGAATAAGCAACGGAAAAAGAATCTATACCCGGTCTTTATGATAGATAAGACGCTAAGTGAGTACAATGGCGGATAGATACAATAAGAGATTCGCGACGCCTATCTAGAGATTAGGGAGTATAGAGAGTAGATCGAGCTTAATGTGATGCCGATTAAGTATAATATCATTCTAGGGATAAAGTAACTAAAAGAACACTCGCTAGTAATAGACTGAAAAGAAGGAACCTTGTTCTTCCTAAATTGCAGTCACGAGAAGACAAAGAGGAAGAAACGATTAACTTTCATTGTATCTTTATAAAGAGCGATATAGATATAATCTAGAAGAAGAGCCTTAAACGAAATACGAGAGAAAAGCCTATCTAAGGAATATAAGGACTTCATAGACATCTTTAAAGAAAGAGAAGGCATAGCCGCGCTACTAGAGCATAAGCTATAAGACTATAAAATAACGCTTAAAGAAGAGAAAGTGCTAAAGCACAATGATTAACTTTAACCCTTATCCTTAAAGGAAGAAAGCTTCCTTAAGGAGTACGTGGAGACTCACTTAAAGAAAGGCTTTATTCGACTATTCAAGTTATTTATAACACACGATATACTATTCGCCCCAAAAAAGGATGAATCTCTTCGACTATGCATTGATTTCTGACCACTTAATACGATCATCAAGAAGAATCAATACTCACTACTCTTGATTAAGAAGCTACAGAACAGACTCCTTAATGCAAAATACTTTATCGCGCTCGATATACAGGACGCCTACTATCGAGTACGGATAAAGAAAGACTATAAGTAGATAATAGCTTTTAAAACTAGCTTTAGATTATATAAGTATTGTATTATATTGTTTAGATTGATTAACGCCTCGGCATCTTTCCAGGAACTAATTAACGACACACTACGAGAATATCTCGATGACTTCGCAGTCGCATACTTGGACGATATACTTATATTCTTAAAGATGTACAAGGAATATATACAGTATATTTAAAAGATTCTGAGAAAACTTCAGAAAAAGAACCTACCATTAAAACTTAGTAAGTATAAGTTTCATAAAAAACGGATTCGATTCCTAGGCCACATTATATCTAATCAGGGTATTGAAGTGAATCCCGATAAAATAGCGCCAATTAAGGACTAGCCAGAACCCAAGAATATCATGGAAGTACAGTCTTTCGTTGGATTACTTAACTACTACTGAAGATTTATTAAGGGATTTTCGAAGATCGTAGCGTCTTTAACGAACCTTACTAAGAAGAACGTCCCGTTTAAGTTCGGACCAGAATGCAGAAAGGCATTCAAACGCCTTAAAGAAGCCATCACGACGGCGTCAGTACTTGCGATATTTGACCCTAAGCTAGAATGCTAGGTAGAGACAGATACATCGGACAGAGTGATCAGAGCCCGCCTCACGCAAAAAGGGCTAGATAGTAAGACCCGAATGATCGCGTACTTCTTAAAGAGAATGACAGGGCCGGAGTTGAATTACGACATCCACGACAAGGAACTACTCGCTATCGTGGCATGTCTCAAGGAATAAAGAGTATATCTTAAAAGCGCTAAGTATTAAGTTTAGATCTACACTGACCATAAGAACCTATTGTACTGGACAACCATAAAAGAACTTAACCGCAGACAGATTCGATAGGCCGAAACATTGACACTATATAACTTCAAGATACATCACGTTTGAGGAAAAGAAAATGCTATAGCAAACGCGCTCAGTAGACAGCCAGATTATATGAAAAACATTAAACTAGAGCCTATGGTAGTACTCAAGAAAAAAGATAACGCCTTAATCTATATAATATCTGAGATAGAGATATTGGCTTTTATCGATATTGAGCTGATAGAAGAGCAAAAGAAAGAAATCATTAAAGGACGACACAATGATAAGTTAGCAGGATATCCAGGTATCGAGAAGACACTCGAATTAGTCACGAGGGACTTTACCTGGAAAGGGGTCAGGAAAGACGTAGCAGAATACGTTAAGAACTGCGATATATGCCATAAAGCAAAGCACGCGAGATATAAGCCCTACGGGTTACTCTAAACGCTAACGATACCAGAAAAGGCGTGGTATATCATCGCATTGGATTTTATCATAAAGCTACCAAAGTCCAAAGAACCCCTCACGGGTGTGGAATTCGACAGTATACTTATGGTAAACAACATCCTGACCAAATATACAGAATTCATCTCATATAAGGAGTTATCAACAGCTGAAGACTTAGCGTACACGCTATACAAGGACGTTTTCAGTCGACATGGGATGCCGGAAGAAATACACTCGGACCGGGACAAGCTGTTTATATCGCAGTTCTGGTAATCATTAATGGACCTCACGGGAGTCCACCAAAAGCTGTTAACAGCTTTTCACCTATAGAGCGATAAACAGACAGAAAGAACAAATTAAACGCTAGAACAGTATTTATGATGTTATGTTAATTTCCAGCAAAACAACTAGGTATAGCTACTACCCATAGCGTAGTTTGTATTTAACAATAAAGTAGCAGCAACAAAAATATCACCATTCTACGCAAACCATAGGTTTCACCCAAGGATAGATAAGAATACCAGAGGCATTAAACCAATTACAGAAAAG